TGAATGCTATTCCCTGGTAAACAAGGGGAATACATTAGCTGAACAAGGACAACCTTTTCAAACTGAGAGAAAGTTACGACAAGAGGACACAAGTGGAAGCTAGAAACGCAAATGAGTAGAAAACATGTAAGGAAATCCACGTACTCTGTACGGGCAACCCCACAAGTGAAATGTACTGAAAGAAGAAATTGTTGAAGCAACCTCCATCCACAATTTTACGTGCAGTTTTGACAAAAAATTCGAATATCATAATAGTTAATTTCTAACGTAACAGGTACAACAAGGCTGGCAAGCGGGAGCATATATAGCTAGACCTCACTGCCCCATAGTCACTGATAGGTAAATACAAGTGAACTCATTGCCTTAGCAACATGAAAATCATGAGAGACTTCTTACAAGTTACCGTATTGACTTTATTTATTATAACTCTTTCGTGAGTATTGTCCAACGAAGGTAGAAATTAGCTCAAATGTCGAGCGTGTCTTAAAGCCAACCTTCACCCTCTACTTTTTGCTTAGAACCAGATATCAGTTCACTGAATAATATAATGTAAAAGCCATATTCATCGTTAGTTATTCTCACGGCACACGTATCTCAACCTAAAGTTACTAACGTCTCTGGAATTGTCAATTGATAGAATCTTCAAACAACAAATAATAACGTTATGGGTTTGCATGAAGGGTAGACAGTATTGTCATGAAGGAGTCAGTTGGTCAAATCGAACTTAGCAATTATAGGCGAAAAGCACCTCGGAGGTCACTAAGGCGTGGAGAGAGAGATAAGAGGAGTGAAATGTATCCCCTTTGAGATTACATGTTGCCCTGTGTTATTATAGTGTGTGTGTGTGTGTGTGTGTGTGTGTGTGTGTGTGTGTGTGTGTGTGTGTGTGTGTGTGTGTGTGTGTGTGTGTGTGTTTGCGTGTGTGTTTACTATTTGCGCCTACAGGATCGAGCTCTTGGACTCCGCCTTTCTAACTGTCGGTTGTCTAATGTACTGTTTACCGACCTATTTATCTCTCTCGTATTTGCTACATATGTTTTATCACACACACACATACACACACACACACACACACACACACACACACACACACACACACACACACACACACACACACACACACACACACACACACACACACACACGAAAAATTCACTGCAGGATGCAATAAAAAGCATGTGAATGTAAATCAGGTATGTGATACCACTCATGCAAGCAATCATAAACATGTCAAGCTCGAGATGAACAATCTGCCGTAAATCAGATCACGAAGCGGTTCTGGGGCAGGTCCCTCACGAGGCTCAGGAAGTGGTGCACAGTCAGTCATTGCAACAACGTTATGCCAGGGATGTTGCAAGCGATATTCTGAGGACCAGATCTGTGATTGATTTGGAAGGTTGTTCAACTGATATACAGTTGCAATTGAGTACTCTCACCTAGTTACGATTGCAGGAGGTTGAGCTTCTACTCTTTAGTCCCCGCCTTAACCTTTAATGAACTTGTCTATAAGTTGAGTAGCTTATTGGGCTCTGATGTGCAGAGTGGTCTTCGTCCTCGGGTCGCAACCGACTGACTTAGGTTCATTGCTATCCCATTGTTTATTTGATTCACTTGTTCGTTGTTATTCATTTGCTTATTTTTATCCTATTCATATTATTTCATTGTTCATTATTATTTTCATGTTAATTGTTATCCTGTTTATTGATATTCAATTGATTCATTGTTATTCCTTTGTGTAGTGTTATCTTGTTCACTATTATCTCCTTGTTCATTGTTATGTCCTTTCTCATTTCATTTTATTCATTGTTATTCTCCTGTTCATTCTTATCTCTATTCATTGACAGAGTATAGTGTGTGTGGCATATACTGTAGTAGTCCCCAGTATGAGAGAACAGGTGTGGAGAGGCTCAGCAAGGAACAGGCAGGATGGTCAGGTGTGGAGGCACCGTGACCATCCTGCCTTAATGAACTTAATGAACTGTGACCATCCTGCCTTAATGAACTGACGCCTTAACCTTTAATGAACTTGTCTATAAGTTGAGTAGCTTATTGGGCTCTTATGTGCAGAGTGGTCTTCGTCCTCGGGTCGCAACCGACTGACTTAGGTTCATTGCTATCCCATTGTTTATTTGATTCACTTGTTCGTTGTTATTCATTTGCTTATTTTTATCCTATTCATATTATTTCATTGTTCATTATTATTTTCATGTTAATTGTTATCCTGTTTATTGATATTCAATTGATTCATTGTTATTCCTTTGTGTAGTGTTATCTTGTTCACTATTATCTCCTTGTTCATTGTTATGTCCTTTCTCATTTCATTTTATTCATTGTTATTCTCCTGTTCATTGTTATCTCTATTCATTGACATATTATAGTGTGTGTAGCATATACTGTAGTAGTCCCCAGTGTGAGAGAACAGGTGTGGAGAGGCTCAGCAAGGAACAGGCAGGATGGTCAGGTGTGGAGGCACCGTGATTAATGACTGCAGGAACTGTATAGCCCGTTCATGATCATCTCTTTTTTCCATATCTAACTTGTCTCTCTCTCTCTCTCTCTCTCTCTCTCTCTCTCTCTCTCTCTCTCTCTCTCTCTCTCTCTCTCTCTCTCTCTCTCTCTCTCTCTCTCTCTCTCTCTCTCTCTCCCCCTCTCTCCTTCCCCCTCGTTCTCTTGTTTTACATTGTTTCAACATTGCCGCCAACGTGTTTTAATTGTGATAAATTCACTGGCATTATCTTTGTGTCAATAGTGACCAGTCTGGAGGCTGAGCTGGCCTCGCCTCACAACCGCGTCATGATGGCTGCTCAATGAAGACCCTCTTAAAAAACCCACACGTGCATTAAAAATGTTCCTTTCAAAAACAGAATGAAATTGCTCATTAGAATTCGCCTGACACACTCACGTCTTAACTACCGCGTGTTTGCAAGCACGTATCTCGTAGTGATCTTGGGGGGGAAAATGGCATATTTCAGTTAACAAATACCTTTCCTAAGTGGGTACGTTGATACAAATAAAGGGTGTAATGTTATAATAGCAGAGTTCCACCCACGCGCAGATACGAGGACAAAAAATGATTGAGAGGGAATATATCCGTGTTCGTCAGAGGCTGCCTGAGACCTCATCGGCGACGCTCTAGTGGTTACCAGCAGCGTTTGGACCTTGTTTACCAAACTTGAAATGCTGTCGCAAAAAGATCCTCCAACTTACCCGGATTTGAACCTTGCCACCTCACGCCTTTCTTCTCCAAACAGTCCAGATCAACACTTGACGCGCCAGTGAAGGTTTTGCCCTCAAGTCGGCTTGTAAAACACTAGCAGGTTTTAAAGAGGATCGACATTGACATTCCTGAGACGTTGAAAGGTCTCCAGGAGGGCCTGGTACTGTTGTTGTGATGAGAGACCGCGCTGCACAGGATCGCCACCTCTCATCAAGGCTACGCACCAGTCAGGTTGCAAGCTGCAACACTCTTCAAGTTCCCTTGAGACGGGCAGTGTTTACATTGAGATCCTGGTGGGCTCTGTCACACCGCCTATAGGGACGGATCACGTTCGCTAGGATGACGTCAGGAAAACTTGACGGCGGAGGGTAAGCAGTGTGCAAAAAAGCTTCGGTCTTTCAAAGAACTGATGACGCTGTCAGTAAATCATAAGGACTGAGAGTGACGTTTGACTGTCGTGGTGTTAACCTTGACTTCCCTTACCCTTAAGGGAAGGTAAAATACAGAGAAAGCACTCATACTTAGTGCTTTCTCAACACTAAGTATGAGAAAGCACTAAGGCAGTATGAATATACAGAACTCGGCAGGGGTATGAGGACTACAGCTGGGCGGAAGAAGGCTAGCCTCGCTTCTTGCAGGGTTGGCGTTCCATGCCCAGTAGTTGGGCTCCGGTTCTTCACACGATCCTCATATTCCGGTTCATAGTCTCTACTCAAAACTCGCAATTAAGGGACCCGGGGCTCAATCCCCGGGTGGGACAGAAACAGTTTGGCACATTTCCTTTCCACCTAATTCCTCTGTTCACCTTGCAGTAAATAGGTAACCGGGAGTTTAGGTAACTCTTGTGGGTTGTTTCCTATTCACGATCAGAAGCTAGCCAATTATAGTTTCGATAAGCCTTAAAATAGGCTTCCTGGCCCCAGCAACGGAAATTAGATGCTATATACTTACAATGGCTTAGTTCTCTCTCTCTCTCTCTCTCTCTCTCTCTCTCTCTCTCTCTCTCTCTCTCTCTCTCTCTCTCTCTCTCTCTCTCTCTCTCTCTCTCTCTCTCTCTGAGAAGAAAACAATCTCAATTTTCCTAGGCATGGCATCTTGCGAGCGACGCCGTGACACACACTTATGGACCAAAGACGTTTTATGGCATTCCTGGCACGTTAATGGCGTTTATAATTGACTATCATACCAGTACTGTCACTCAGATTGGTCCTTTAAGGCAATCAACAGCCGTAAACTGAAGCACTTTCTCAACCCTAACAAAAAAGACTGAAAAAGGGAATTTTCCTTTTCCATAAAACGATGAAAAAAACTGATCTTAATGTCTTGGATTTTGCTCGCGATATTCAGCATGATATATCAGACTTGGTTATACTTCCATGACTTCAAATTTTAAAAATTATTCATAAATGGTTTTTAGATTTACAGTTGGTTTAATTTACAAAATTTCAAGTAATACAAAATGTAGAAGGCACTTTTACGTTGTAAAAGTGTTCGATAACTGATTCAGCTGTCAATATTACTTTGTGAACGTTCCATGAGACCCCTTGTGAGAAGTCTCATAAGGGTCTGAAAAGTCTTAAAATCTAAGAGAAATCTTTTTTGCAACATTATCACTAAGTCCTAGACAATTGAGAGACATCAATACAGTAAGGCTGATTATGTCTTGACGGATTGTTTAGACATATGTACGAGTTTGGAATGGATGTAAATAAGATATGCCTAGTGTGGGCCCATCGGCCTTCTGCAGTGTTCACAATACTTCTGTTCTTAATACTGTACTCACTCCTGAAGTCTATGCAGTCAGGGCATCCACAGTGGGACGGGGAGTTGCCACAGTACCCATAGTCACTACAACAAGGTCGATCACTGTTGGGATCACATTCTGAAGCCTCTCGACTTGCCAAAGGAAAATTAGGTCCACATCGACCATCCGTTCGCCATCGTATTCTCGGACCTGAGAAGAAAATAAAATGAAATTTAATAGGAGTCTAAAGTGGATCTAATATTCCAAGTCGGTGTGATGGTAAACATTTGGTTTAAGGTGTGGTAAATTGTGGTTAGGTTAGGGTTGATATTGATTACGATAGGTTAAACTAAGACTGGTTAGGTTAGGTTGACCTCTATGACTGGATAGGTTCAGTTGAATTGAGATCGGGTAGGTTAGAGTGAGCTGATCTTGGTTAGGTAAATTTAAGCTTAGACTAGTTGGGTTAAGTTAGGTTGAGATGAGGTTAGTTAGGTTAAAATGAGCTGAGATTATTTAGATTATGTTAGGTAGAGCTGATATTGGTTAGGTGAGGGTTTAGGTTGAGTTGGTATTAGCAATAATGGGTAATGTTGAATTGGGATTCGCTAGGTTAGACAAAGATTTAAACAAACATGCATTTTCGACATTGTTAAAGTACAAGTTATAGGAATATAGAGGTTTCTTCTTATCGTAGAAAGGAAGGCTGTTAGGTCTGTCGTGATACCTGGCCCAATCACCAGGAGGCGCCCTACAACACTCGCCTAACTCCAAGTTACTGATTTACTACCACGTAAAACACATGCATCGGGTGAAAGGAAGTGTGGCCAAACGTCTCACCCTGCATGGGAATCGAACCCAGCAATTGTCAGTTGTGAGCCTACAGATAGTTCAGGGGTTTATTGAACAATCAACCACAGAATTAAGTGTGAGGACAGGTGGTTTTACTTTGTGAAAACGTACATTTTCTTCAATATATTTTCTTCGCATTATAAAGGTTTTATATTATGGTCCTGTGAATCGTGTTTTGATCCTAAATATCACCTTCAATAAGGGACATATTATGATGCTCACTATTATTGTTAATGCTTTACTTTCTATGCGAGTAACCGCTAAAAAAATTCCTGTGATGTATGGAGAATATTTTATATATATATATATATATATATATATATATATATATATATATATATATATATATATATATATATATATATATATATATATATATATATATCGTACCTAGTAGCCAGAACGCACTTCTCAGCCTACTATGCAAGGCCCGATTTGCCTAATAAGCCAAGTTTTCATGAATTAATTGTTTCTCGACTACCTAACCTACCTAACCTAACCTAACCTACCTTTTTCGGCTACCTAACCCAACCTAACCTATAAAGATAGGTTAGGTTAGGTAGGGTTGGTTAGGTTCGGCTATATATCTACGTTAATTTAAACTCCAATAAAAAAAATTGACCTCATACATAATAAAATGGGTAGCTTTATCATTTCATAAGAAAAAAATTAGAGAAAATATATTAATTCAGGAAAACTTGGCTTATTAGGCAAATTTGGCCTTGCATAGTAGGCCGAGAAGTGCGTTCTGGCTACTAGGTACGACATATATATATATATATATATATATATATATATATATATATATATATATATATATATATATATATATATATATATATATATATTTTCTCTCTAGGGAAAAATATATAATCACATGTCTTTGCCTCATTGTATTAACCATAAACAAAGTGAGAATACCAGAAAGCTAACACATTAAATATATTTTTTTACCTATAATTGATATTATCAATTAATTAACAATATCAAACGTAAATAGGAACTCATAAATCATAATTACATCTGAGGATGGAGGACATTCCTCGAAATGGAGTTGTTGACCTTTTGATCTTCTAGCAGTCTTGACTGACCACTCCGTACAAAACCCAACCTCCTAACCCCACCAGCAGCGCATGAACCGCAGCAACCCACCTAACCTATCGAGTCTGTCGCATAGAAAACGTAGATGTTTGTCAGCCGTCACTTTTGATAATAGGATGCATTTATTACGTTAGTTACCATAATGTAGAAAAAAAAACGCGATCTATTAGCTGAGAGAACTGGTCGACTGAAGGCGCGCGCGTCGCAGCTCACGCAGGAATATCCCTGCAACAAAAAAAAAAAACTAATCTGCGGTGATCTACGGCCGTTCGGACAACCAATATATCAACATCGTGGTCAATATTACAGCCAGACAACCGTGCAACCTCTTGTGTAAAAACAAATTAATCGGGCAAACTGATACGAATATGATACCTAATGGCAAGAAAGCTGTCAAGATTAAGTTTAAGTAAGTGCTAGAAAAATACATCCCCCCTTAACGATGTTTATAACTCGCGAAATATTAGCCAGGTTAGTCAAGGCAGAAAGTTGCATTGTCATAGTTCAAGTGAGCTGTTCCTGTCCGCCACTGCTACTTGAGAGTGATGTTTGTGTTCTGGAGATTAAAATTGTGCAGCTGGAGAGACATACTGCTCGTCTGGTCCCATTACTTAGTCTTTCGCACAAGGCCCCTTCAACACCTCCAGGCTATAGAGGTGACTGAAATTACAAACACCAATTGCCTCTTAACAACCAGTTCCCTTGTGGCTGGTGTAGACTATGAAGAACGAAAGGCTCGTCGCGGACCTGTTTCCAAGGGTAAGGAAGTGTTCGAGATTCGTTCAAAGTTCCAAAAACCACAATACAAATTTAATATTATTAATAATGAAAATAATTGAAAGTGTTTGTGTCCCTCAACTCAGAAGACGAACGAAGCACTGTAAACAAATCAAAATGAGTTAGAAAGTAATTAGTTGTGAGTCGAGTGTAAAGTGTTTTTCATTCATGACCTGAGTGTTTGCCGGCCGGATTAACGAGCATTAAGCCATTGTTTACGAGGACGGCCTGGTAACTCTACACTCCTGAATTATGCATCAGATAAATCCATATTCAAGCGCTCGACGTGTTAATGGGTCTCGCTGATAAGAACCTACACCTTTGTTCCACTTACCACCACATTAGGGATTTGAACACTCAATTTAACACTTAGAGAAAATAATTCATATTATAGAGAGATGCACTACCACATCAGGGACTAGAACACTCAATTTAGCACTTAGAGAAAAATTATTTAAAGTATAGATAATAGAAATACCGTCTTTTCGCGATGTTAAAGATTTGGTCTCGGTACAAATGTTATGTAAATAATTGTTATTAATTCCCTTATCTTTTTTAATTTTAGTAAAGATATTTTGTAAATTCTGTAATCCTGTTAAATATATGATTGTGTAAGTTAAGGTATTGTCTGCAACGATTAATCGTTTTCATGTTAGATCATTCGATTGTGTTATGTTGCAGATCGTTGACTTCACTATGTTGCAGAGTTGGATGTGTTATTTTGCAGAGCTTTGATTATGCTATGACACAGAGAGTTGAGTGTTATTTTCAACAGAGTGGCCTCTGCTGTGTGTATTCACCTAGTTGTGTGTGTGTGTGCGTGTGTGTGTGTGTGTGTGTGTGTGTGTGTGTGTGTGTGTGTGTGTGTGTGTGTGTGTGTGTGTGTGTGTGTGTATGTGTGTGTGTGTGTGTACTCATCCTGGTGTGTTTACAGAGACGAGTTTGGCTGCTATCCCCGCCTTTCGTTAGTTCTTTGTTTAATGACATGACTCAGTTTACACGTTTTTTTTATCGTATTTGCACTTAAAAATGTTTATCGAGTTATATGCAACGACTTTTTCGTTTGTCCTTTTCCACTTATTGACGACTCTGGGAAAAACAAAATTCTGCCATCTCAGTGATTTTTTTCTCCATCTATGACCTTTCGTTCTGCTGTTCCTAAGTGTGAAAAAATGCTACTTTATATTTTATCAAATTCCCCTGAAAATCATAATATGTCGTTAACATGTCTCTTTTTTTTCAAAAGCACTTCCAGTAACGTTACACACAATCAGTGATCTGTTTACCTCGTATCTCAAGCCCTTCAGCTCGAGAACGAGACTTGTTGCATGTCTTTGGGCCTGTCAAGCTGTGTCCTTTTTTCATATCAGGTAGGCCCATTTGAGGACCTTCTTGAAGAGTGTCTCATAAGTTGTGTATATGGCCCTGAAGGCTCCTTAAATAAAGTTTCTAAAGGGTACACAGGCTTGTCGGCTTTGGTATGACCTCTTTGGTTTACCGTCTGCTTTACCCTCCTGGTTTACCTAAGAGAAAAAGCAGACACGAGGCTGGTGTCACCTTCCTGCAGGAAGTTTGTTCTCTGCTTCACACTTTTATATCATACTCTGCAGGGCACTCCTTCTAAGGAGCCAGTTTTCTTAATTCTTGGAAAATGTCTGAGAGAATATATAATTTTTTTGTTCCGTCCTTGACTCTACTATAACATACGTATATTGCTGCCAGCATACACATTTTAGCACAGAATTTATTTATTATTTAATGGGCTTTTATTTCGTTGTGAAAGTTGTGAAATTAGAATATTATTATTATTGTTATTCGTAGAGTAATTACTTAATGAATATTTGGGTTACTGTCCACTAAAGTTATGTTCTCGCAATTGTTCTCAGAGTGTGCTGAACAATGCCCTTCATATAGAGTTGATGAACGCTAATAACATTCTAAGTAATTATTTAGATTTAATCTAAATAATGAATGTCTTTGTCATGTCAAACACGTCATGTGATTAATATTTTAGAAGCCAAGGAAATTATGAGGAGATAGCACCAAGCCATTACGACTATATAGCACTGGGAAGGGATCAGGATAAGGATTTGGGATGGGACGGGGGGAAATAAACCCTATATGATACGAGACCATCGCTCTACCATCCAGCCCAAGTAATTGGATGTAATTATTTAAGAGTTTAAAATTAAAATCTATAATAAAACGAATGCTTTGCCTCGTCGTCTTTCTCAAACATCCCTGTTACGTCACAAGACACCATTAGCGAAGTCAATATACCCTGCTTGCAAAGTTCTATAATAACTCACAGAAATCACAATAGCGTGATGTATCAATGAACAATGGGGGTGCATGGGGAAGTTGTGTAGAACCCTGATTTGTGTCTCGGAGAGGCTGCAGGGTCCAAATAAGTCCAGTAGACCTTCTGGTTTCAACTCTTTTTACCATGTCGTAGCTCAGTCGATGAAGGCAGCGTCTGG